GTCACATTTTTTAAAATCCTTTGATGGCTCTTATTTTTTCAAACAAATGCCAGATTGTTGATACGACAAATAACCTCCTCAATGAGCTTGCCTAAACTCTTCCTTCCTCATGGCCTACTACTGTTTCCCCACACTTTACTGTTTAGAAATTGAAAACTCCCTCCACATATCGTTTGATTACACCCTGAGGTGGGCTGTGTCCAGTTCCTGTTGGCTTCTACTGGCTCAGAAGAGCTGACTGGTAAATATTCAGAAATGTTGCCATAATTATTAAATAATTTGGCAGCTTGAAATTAGCCGTGGTGGGAGGATACACTATGGAAAAAAGCAAATGCTGGAAAACAGGCCTTTTCCCCCCTCATATAGGCAGATGACCAGCTCTGTAAGCAGCTCATGTGTTTCATATCTCAATATTCTAAAGGTTGCTTGGATTTCCATGCCCTTCCACTTGGAAGCCTAAAGAATGGAGATAAAAATGGATGGCAGAGACAGGGCTGCAAGGCTAATCCTTTCTCAGTCTGTACAAATATGCTGAGTCAAGGTCCTGAGATGAAAAAAGTTAAAACTTTATACCAGAGATAAAAAAAACTGCTATAATAGCAATGACAACAATAAAAATCCTTTGTGTTTGGTTTTATGTATATATATATATATTTTTTTTAACGTAAATTATTTTGCTGTTGTGTCAAAATTTAATCAAGTTTATCTGCAATGTAGCCCTTAGTCAATATTTCTAAATAAGATAATTGATTTGTGATTTGTACCTCATGCTATAATATTTACACAAAATAGTATTCAAAATGATACTCATACTTTATGCATCATTGATTAAAGCTATACTGAGTAAGACTAAAACATGATGGGTAATTCCCTCAGTCTTTGGAATTAAAAACTTATACTTGTGTTTCATATAGAAATTTCCAGATCTCTGTTGCAAAAGACATAATTTCCATCCAAAATATACTTATATGATGAATATTCATTGATCTCACCAAGGAGTTTTAGATTTGTGAATGTTTCACTTGGTCAGTGGGTCTGCAATTATTTTTTAACCCTCTTGTTAGGTGAAAAGATTTGAGCTAAGTGATTCAGGGTAACTTTTCTCCACTAGAGTAAATTATTGACAAAAAAGTGTTTGTGAAACACAGCATATCTCTAACGTAGAAGAATTTCAAAATTCTAGTATAGGGTAGAGTCTAAAGACATCCTAAATTTCAGAGCTAGAGAAAATTTTAAATAGTGCACATTGATTGCTTCATTAAATTGGAGAAATACTCTGGGTTTAAATGTTGCATATTTTAACCTCATGCTGTATTTAACACAGCAATAGTATACTTCATTATTTCTTTATCTGGTAAATGGATCCAGAAAACTACAACCTCTAAGCTTTTAACTTTTGCCCTTATTGACAATGTAGGTTACATGCAATACTTGTATTGACCTATCAGCTTACTGATACATGATAGATAGAGGGAAAAAGGAAGTAATAACTAAGAAAAAAATATCCAGATCTTTCAATGTTTATTTTCTATGCTGAAGATCATAAGATATCTAGAACTTAAACTTGAAAAGTCCTATAACTCCTAAAGTCCACGTGGACCCCCCAAACTGCAGAGATTTTTAATCTTCCTACGGAATATAAATACAACTTTTTTTCTGAGGAAGATTCACCCTGAGTTAACATCTGTGCCAATCTTCCTCTATCTTGCTTATGGGTCCCTGCCACAGCATGGCTGACGAGTCGTATAGGTCTGCGCTCAGGATCTGAACCCGTGAACCTGGACCGCTGAAGTGGAGAGCACAGAACTTTAACCACTTGGTCACAGGGCTGGCCCCTAAATAAAATTTTTATTGCTCTCCCAAAGATCATAACAAGCATCCTGGGCAATTCCTATCATCTGGTAATATACGACATGTCATGAGTGAGGGTAGAAATACATTGAAACTTTGCTATACATTTGTTTCTGGATGTGAATGGGCATCTAGGCATTGACTACAGTATACTATTTTGTCCTGTCAGGGAGACAATTTTTGAGAAAAATGGGCTTGATGGCTTTCTTGACACAGTGCCTCTTTGACTACCAAGATTTTGCAGATGCTACTCCCTCTTCCTAATATATCCTTCTTGCCCTATTTCCTTGTGATCTTTTCCAAATTTACCCATTTGACTGACTTAGAATTCATTAATATATTCTTGCATCAAATATGCATTAAGCACTTACTATGTACGAGGCATTCATCTAGGCACTAGGAATTCAGACAAAAAGCCCTGCCTTCAGGAAGCTTACATTCTAGTGGAGGAAATACATTAAAAATAATTAATTAAATGTGTGATAGAAAGAGATAATCATCATTTAAAGTTCAGTTTAGGCATAAGCTTCTCTGGAAAGCCTTCCTTGATCACCCCAGCCTGTGTTCTGCTCCATTTCTAGATACTCTCAGAGGATCCCATGCTTCCCTCCATTGAAGTGGCAGCTCCACGTTATTATCAACATCTTTTTATGTTTGTCTCTGACAGGTACCATATTTTCTCTATCTTTTTTCCTTTTTTTTTTTTAAAGATTTTATTTATTTTATTTTTTCCCCCCAAAGCCCCAGTAGATAGTTGTATGTCACAGCTGCACATCCTTCTAGTTGCTGTATGTGGGACTCGGCCTCAGGATGGACAGAGAAGTGGTGCCTCAATGCGCACCCGGGGTTCGTAAAAAGATGCTGAAGCATTGCAGCGCGCGCACTTAACCACCAAGCCACAGGGCCGGCCCTCTCTATCTTTTTTCAAAGTGACTAGCCCGATTCCTGAGTCATAGTATGTATTATAAAAATAGATACAATTTACTGAGTCCTTTATTCATGTAGGATATTATTATAAGCCTTTTCCATGTAAAATCAGTTTTATTTTGTTGCGTAACAAACTACCACAGACTTTGTGGCTTATACACACACATGTATTATCTCACAGTTTCTGTAGATCAGAAGTCTGCACACAGCTTAACTGGGGTCCTCTGTTGAGGGTCTCACATGGCTGCAACCAAGGTGTCAGCAAGGCTGTGCTTTTATCTGGAGACTTGACCGGAAAAGAATCTTCTTCCAAACTCACTTGGGCTGTTGGCAGTATTCATTTCCTTGTAGCCATATGACTTAGGACCCTGGCTTCTTAGTGGCTGTTGGCTGGAATCTGCCCTCAGTTCCTAGAGGCCACTCACAGTTCCCTACCATGTGACTCCATATGCAGTTCACAACATTGCTGTTTGCTTCTTTAAGGCAACCAAGTGATTCTTTCTCTACAGTCTGACAAGACAAAAAAAAAAAGAGTCTCATATAAGGAAATGTAATCATGAGAGTGACATTCCATCATCTTTGCCATAATCTCCTGCTTAGAAACATGTCAGAGGTTTCTCTTATACTCAAGGGGAGAGGATTTCATAAGGGCATGACTTATTGGGGGCTGCTTTAGAATGTACCTGCCATACCATGTATTGTCTCATTTAATCCTCACAATTCTATAAGGCATGTGCTATTATTATGAAGTTAAAGAAGCCAAGGGCACCAATGAATAAAAAGTTAAGCCAAGTTTCAAGCCAGGCAGTACTACTCCTGAGTCCAAGCTTTTATCTTACATTACATTGACCCCACTAAGTACATGTCCACTGAATTTATGAATGAAGTAGTGAATGAACAGATGAATGGATTAATGTTGATATAGCTTTTCCCTTTAAGCATAGCATGTTGCTTAAACTAAGAATCTGAGAAAAGATAAGTTCTTTTGTCTCCTATGTCTATCGTGTGGAATGGAAAAAGGAATTTCCTAGGCTATTTAACCTTTACTTTATTTCATTTTTTATCCTTAATTTTGAGTTTTTGTAGCATTATATATTTCGATTCCATTATTTAAAATTCCTTATGGTACTAATCTGTTGTGAAGTCACTAGTAATTATTGGATAATATTGTATCATGTTATGTTATATTGATAGAATGATTTGTTTATTAATTCATTCATAGTACATCTTCCCTAAGAAGAATATAACTTCTAAGAGAAGAAGGTCTTACCTGTTTTTAACCACTATTGTATCCTGAGAGCTTATAAAATAGTAGGCACACAGTAGGTACTCAATAAATAACTTTGAATGACTTGAGTTAATCAAATAAAGTAACATACTAGAAAAATAACTTCCAATCTACTATCGTTTTTTTATTTTGCTCTAATATTATCATTGATGTTACTGTTTGTATTTTAAATACAAATCATCTGCAGAATAAAATAATGGAATTAATGCTCAAGCTTCATTTGGCTTTAATACACAATCAAACAAAAACGTATTTTGAATTTTTGGTTGTTGTTTAAACATCATAATCATTTAACTAAATTTTAAGTAGCTAGTGTTGGAAAGAATGTCTAACCTTGCCAAAACATAATCCACATAGATTTAAAGGAAAGTTGTGTTTTCCGATACGGGCTTAACTCAGAAGGTCTAACATATAAAGTGTTGCTCTGATCTCTGAAGACACACTCATTTCTATGATATATATCATATAATCAAACTACCTAAACTATTTTGGAAGCAAGATTCCAACAGCATTTTTCCCTTCTTTCATTTTCAGCTAGAAAATATCCAAATCATTTATCATGAGGTAGATCTCTCTTGTATGTTATAGCAATAAACTCACAGCTAACATATGGTGTTATTTAGCTGTGTAACAGAAAAGATTAATCAGCCGACAAAATGTCATTATAAAGGAAATATTTTAAACTGTGATTTTCTTTTTTCTCTCACTTATGGGCATCCAGCCAAATTCATCGGCAGCTGGCTTAAAGAACATGTGGAAATAAAAAAGCAAACTCTTAAATTATCAGTGGCATTTAATATATTCAGGATGCCACACTGGAGGTCCATTGCTTATGAAATGTAAATGTTTCCCTTTAATGAGAAATTACATTGTTGTTTTAATTGTGTGTGTATGAAGTGAATTTTGGAGGGTTCATTGAAAGGATTAACATTACCAGTGTTGTCAACAACAGCCATGTTCGTGCACTTACTATTGGCTACCTAAGACTTGTAGTAAAGGATTACATACCCCAGATTTTTCTGGAAAGAGAAGGTTTTAACCCATGAGTGGGAGGACTCATAGGAATGACCTTAATAAATGTTGTAGCTTCTTCTGAAGGAACACTTCAGCATTACTGAATTGCTTGATATGTTAGGATGATCCTATTATTAGGGCAAGGACCCACAAGCAGGAAAAGTAACACCTTATTAACAATAGGTATTATTACTTTTTCAATGTTATATAATTGCTGTAACAAATAAAAGAAAATTCATTTTAAGAGTTTTAAAAAATCATAGTAGCCTTTGATCAATTTTTAAAAAAATTTTAAATCAAGCATAAAAACAGTCATATAAAGATTGGAGATCCACTGCTGCTTTTGATATGCAGCCCTTATACTAAATAAAATATTGACAAGCACTGCATTATCTCATTTATTCCTCATAAGGTCCCCATTCACACCTTAAATTGAAGAAACTAACACTAATTGTGTGCTTAATTTTAGATAATGACTTTACTAATGAATCCTTTAATCATCCCAGGAGGCAGGCACTACTTATCCACAGGTCATGATTGTGAACAGAGATCTGTTTTATTTTAAAGCCTTTACTTCTCAAACTGACCAGCACTGTAGTTTTTGGACCAATTTAACATTTGTCTTATTTATATGTATCCTGGAGAGACTGTAGGTTTTCAGCAGTTTTCCAGAATCAATGAATGCTGCTCCCATTTTATGAGGGTCCCATCATGCCACAACTTATTTCTTCACTATGGTTGTAAATTTATGCATTTACATATTCACTTTATAAATCTAACAAAGAACACATTCCCATAACTTTCTCAAAACCTGCTGGATATGTGACACATTAATTTGGAATATATTTGTATAAATTAACATTCTAAGTATTCAAACTGAAATTCAGACTAGCTAGCAGTATGAACCCTACCTCATTTATATTTCCAGAGCATGAATTACATTTTTTTTCCTGAAATAGGACAACCCTTTCTTAATGAGTTCTACCTAAAAATAATGACTAAGATGTTAAACATGAAGTCACAGAGGTTGTTTACATTGGTAATTGTTCATAAAATTAGTATTCCCTTAGTTCTCAGGGATAGTAGCTAAATTGTTTATTAGCAAACACGAACAAATTAATGTGTTGGAAGAAAAATAAGCACAATATCCTTTGACATTTTCATGCATGATAAACACTGGTTTATTCTGCCAAGGTTATGGTGAAGAGAAAATAATATACCCAGTCCAATTAAATAAACATACATTGAATGCTTGCCATTAACATATTATTCAGCTAAATGTTAAGTCCCAAAGATATCTAAAACACAGTTTTTGGCCTCAAAGAATATAATGTCTTTTAGGGATAATAAGATAAGTAATTTTTTAAGCGAGTCTTAAGGGACTAGCATTATAGGTTCTATAAAAATGATGCAAAGTGCTATGAGAATTTAGAGGAGAAAGAACTAACATTGAGTTGGGGAGATAAAGAAGAACCTTAAAGAATTGCTGCAGTTGAGATCGATCTTTAATTATGTGTTTTTATGATGTGAAGGTACATAAAAAGAAAGGTCTTTACACTAAGGGTATAGCTTAAGCAATAATATGAAAATGAAAAGCCTTCATTATGTTTGGGGGAATAAGTATTCCAATTTGACTACAGAACAAGCCATTCATTCTTTCACCAATGTTTAATGAAGGCTTACCATATGTTAGGCACTCTTTTAGGGAATTTAACAATGAACAAAAGAGACAAAAATCTCCACCTCTGAAGTCTGTACTTCATCGTGATGAAAGATAATAGACTTATAAAAATACAAATAAGTGAATGAGTGATACAAAATAGGGCTGTGGTGTCTATAGATGAACTCAGTAAAAAGTAATCTTGAATGCAGCTTTGGTTGTTGTTTTTAATTCTCTTTTAATTTAACATTTGGAGAACTTGTGAGTGATAGGAGAGGCGCTCTGATATATAACAATTAGCATGCGCCCGTGTGAGATGCGTTAGAATTGAAGTAACAGAAATGGAACCAGGTAGGAGGCTACTGTGAGCAGTCTAGGTATAATGTCACAATGGAGTAAATTAGGGTGATGGCTGTGGGAATAAAAAGAGAGAAAATGTGTGAAATTCATTAAAATGAAGAATTTGTAGGATTTGGCAACTGTTAAATGTGTGAGAATGGGAAAAGGATAAAGTTTCAAGGATCTAATCCTTTAATATTGGGGAAAGGCTCCTGCCATTATCTACAAAGGAAATCAATAGAAGGTGGCTTGAAAGAGAAGGTAGTGATTCTAATGTTTATCATTTGAGAAATGATCAGGATATACCAAAGACAAAGTGGAGCAGCACTTAGAAAGTTGGATTTGCAGCTATAAGTGAGGGGTCAAATCTAGACATAGAGAAGATTTAGAATGATTTCATTGATTTAGTGATGCTATTTTGAGTGTCACTTGGAATGAGCATGGAGGAGGAGAATAGAACTCCTTGGAAGTATCTATATTCGAAGAGTTCAAGACGGGTTAGGGTTAATGTCAGAATGCGAAGGAGGCTATGCTTTGAAAGTATTCTTATTCTAGCAGCATAGAAGGAGGAGAACAAGACAACTAAGGAGACAGAGAAGAAACAATGTACTGTAGAAAGAACATAAGGTTGGGGGCGGCCCCGTGGCTTAGCGGTTAGGTGCGAGCATTCTGCTGCTGGCAGCCCGAGCCCAGATCCGGGGCATGCACCGATGTACTGCTTCTCCGGCCATGCTGGGGCCGCGTCCCACATGCAGCGGCTGGAAGGATGTGCAGCTATGGCATACAACTATCTACTGGGGCTTTGGGGGAAAAAAATAAATAAAAAAAAAAAAATTAAAAAAAAAAAGAAGATTAGGTTGATGGCATAAGGAAATGAAGGAAGTATGATTAACAATGATCCATTTTGTAAAGATCTAAGAAAATGAGGACTAGGACTATGTCATTTCTTCATAAAATTGAGATCATTCATAAGGTAGCTTTCCAGAATTCAGTAAAATCAACAAAGCCAGACACCAAAGAATACATACTATATGATTCCATTTATATGAAATTCAAGAAAATAGAAAACTGATCTATTATGGTAGAGATTATAGTTTTATTCTTTTTTTTGTTTTGTTTTGTTTTTTTGCCAGGAGGACTAGCCCTGAGCTAACATCCGACGCCAATCCTCCCCTTTTTTCTTGGGGAA